CCAAATACTTTTCCAACATGGATTTGTATTTTTGGCTGTTCATCATGCCTTCAATTGGCACCAAAGATCCAATCCCCATGTATGAAAAACATCCCCAAAACATTTTCTTGACTGGATGTTTACGGTTTGATCAATATGAGATGGTGTAAGCTTTTCATTGTCAGACTTCCTGACGAATTTCGACCGCTGTCCCTGAACTATAAAGTGGGTTTCATCTGTAAATAGGACTTTTTTCCAGTCGCCTACAGTCCAATTACGGTATTTTTTGGCCCACAGTAGCCTTTGTTTCTTCATTCGTTCAGTTAGAAGCTGTTTTTTCTGTGGACGAATTGCCCTTCTACCATTCTCCAAAAGTCGTCTACGAACAGTTGAGTCATGAATCACTATAGCTGACGCTGCTAGATCTTATTGTAGGTCTTCGCTTGATTTTTTTGGGTCCAATTTGCTCTTTCGAAGTAAAAATCTATCATCTGCTGGTGTTGTTTTTCTCTTTCTTCCACATTTTCCTAACCTTTTCACATCCACTGATCCCGTTTCTCGTTTACGCTTCAAAATTTTGCTTACTACCCCCTGACTCACTCCACACGTTCTAGCAATCTCTCTTTGTGACATACTAGTGTGTTCACTCAACGTGACAATCTTTTCACGCTTCCTAGGCATAATATCCATGTTGGAATAAAACCAAAAACAACACAAAATAGTACAAAGACCGCCAAAACAACACAAGCTTGGTAAGAAATGACCTAAAACACACTCAAACATACCAACACACAGTAAGGTTATCTTTTCAATGCTTGGTCAGCTGTCAACTGTGTAGGTAGTGTTGCCAACTGTGAATATTGAAAAATGAAAAAAAATTCACAGTGATTCCATTAATTCGTATAATGCTGTAGTAAGACTGCATAGGTTCTGGAGATGACGGCAAGCCATCTTCTTTTTCGTTAACTCCAGGAGGTTTGGTTGGGAGCTTCTTCGTGGTTATTTGTTGTTAGTCTTTTATGTTATTTCTATATTTGTCTGAGTTTCTCCTTCTTATATTCTGCGGAATGCAAAGGTATTATTCTCGGAGTATGTATATATTTTGGAAGGGTGCCACCTTTATTAAACATAACACCTTTAAAAATTTTAGATTCCTCAATAGATCCTCAAGGATCTTCTTAATTTTCGCATAGGGGAGCACGAGGCACAATAAAACACAAATTTGTTTTTTATTTTTCCTGTTTTTGCATGTAGGTATATCAGTTTAAAATGTGTTTTAAAAGATTACCTTCGGTACTAGGAACAGACTTATAGTAGCATCAAAAACCTTATTATTAACTATTTTGAGTAATAATCAATTCAAGTTTAAGAACAAATGTTTCATTATACTCCACCAGTGGTGCACAATGTGCTATGCTATAGTTTTATTCTAATAATAAAATAAATAATATAAAATCAAGGGAAAAATAATTCATACGTTGAATATAGTAGTAAGCCAATATTTAAATTAGTGAAGTCGATTCGAAAGAAATAAATTGTTTTTTGGCGTTGGGTTGATCCTCAAAAACCGGGTTCTCTAAAATCATCTTAATGCTATTCTCAGCGACTATTGATACATCTGGAACTGGTGGCTCTACAAAGGTGTTATGTCTATTTTTTCTGAAAAACTTCACTTTGAAATCTCCGCTCGTATTCCTTTCTTTCATAACAAGTACAACGTAGAACTTACTATTATGGCTGTTTAATTTATATTCCACCAGTACATAATCATTTTTAATGGATGACCTATCCAGATCTATATATTTGTTTTCATTAAGAATGAAAATGTCTTAATCTCAATATAGTTGACTACATTTCTTCTTCAGATGAAGACTGAACCTCTTCAATTTTTTTGGATTTCTTCCTAGTGTTCTTATTAAAATGCGTTATTTTCCGTTAGACACCTTCCATTGATACCTCCGTTTTATTGGCAATTGCAGTAATTTATGGAGTACTGGTTGCTATTATACTTTTTCTTCTTGTTCGACCGTTTCTATTTGTTTTTCCTACTCCCTACCTTGGGAAATTCTCTAAAATCTTCAAGTCCACATAAAGAAATTACTGATGGTAGTAGAAGTACTGGGTTCTTGAGAATTGTTATTGAAACTTGAGGAGTTGGCATCTGCATCGATTTCCATTGTTGTCGTTGATTTTTTCAGCAGGAATATCACCTGACAATGGATCCTCTTTTAACTGATAAATAGCTGGTAACTCCGCCATTGGTCGATCGGTAACGTAATTACATAAAGAGTCGGCATCGGTGAAAACGTGTTTGTCATATGGGTAAATCCCTGTTTTCTTAAAAGAAGCAGTGATGTTTGATGGAGTCATTCCTCTCTCGTGAGCAATCTTTACAAAACCAGCAACATTGTAAATATTTGCTGTTTGTCCAGGATGCTGCATGATCTACTGCTGCAAGTATCTAGTGCAGCATTGTAATACGTTTTGAATGGCTTAAACACTCTAACGTCTTCTTCTTCTTCTGGTTCCTATCCGTTTCGGATGTTGGAAATCATATTGGCAATCATAACCTTGCTCGCTGCGACTCGAAACAGCTCCGTTGAGGTTTTCTTAAACCACGTTCTTAAATTCCGCAGCCATGATATTCTCCTTCTACCGGGTCCTCGCTTACCTTTGACTTTACCTTGCAATATAGACTGCAGCAGGGAGTAACGGTGCTGATTTCTCATAACGTGTCCCAGATATTGCAATTTTATGCGTTTGATCGTAAACACAATCTCTGGTTAATTCTTAATTTTTCCTAGAACTTCCTTGTTCGTGATCCTTGCTGTCCATGATATTCTCAGCATTCTTCTATAAAGCCACATCTCACATGCTTCAAGTTTTTTAATAGTGGTGTCTGTAAGCGTCCATGCCTCCACCCCGTACAACAACACAGAGAAAACGTAGCATCTCAAATGTCTCATTTTTGTATCTAGGGATATGTTGTGACTTTTAAGATGGCGCTCATTTTGTTAAAAAACCGTTCTTGCCTTTCCTATGCGGCACTTTATTTCCTGTACATTGCTCCACTGTTCCTTTATAATAGTTCCCAGGTAGCAATACTGTTTAACTGGCTCTATCTGCATCCCATTAATGTATAGGAGAGTCCCGTTTATATTCTCCTTGCTGAAAATCATTTGTTTAGTTTTGTGGGTATTAATGTTTAGTCCGTACTGTTGACTGTACTCGTTTATTCTGTCCATTAGCCTCTGAAGTCCCTCTAAACTATCTGCTATCACCATGGTATCGTCGGCATATCTAACATTGTTTACTTTTTCACGATTTAGAAGGATGCCTTCGTCTATTCCGTAAAGAGCCTAGTTAAAAATTTTCTCTGAGTACATATTAAATATCAACGGCGATAGGATACATCCCTGTATAACTCCACGTAGTATTTTTATGTGAACTGTTTCTTCTCCGTTTATTTTCATGTATGCGGTCTGATTCCTAGACTCTAACGTCTAACGGTTACAATTTATTTGTGGAATGTGGTGGAAAAGTTAACATAGTCACTCCATTTTCTTTGCACAAATTAAGTGCCTCCAATGATAAATGACTTTCGTGAATGTCGCATATCAGAGTGAGCGACTACATGCTGCTTTTTGAGTGGTTGATGAAATGTTTAATAACTTCAACAAATAATACAGAAGTTATCCAGCCGGATGGAATTACCAAACCAAGAGTGCCAGTGGGGGCTTCCTTCACCATGTGGGCTTAAAGTGCACACGTGGAAATATCATGACGGGGGGATACAGTTGCCGCTCGCTGAGATGGAACAATAGGTTGTCACATTAGTACCCTTCTCAGCACTAGTGCACTTGGGGACCTGTTTAGCTCCTTTTTTGGCAATTATTTTTTGACGTTTCTGAATTGTGCATCTGACTATTTCGTCCAGATTAAATACTCGTGTTCCATTCCAATGTGTTCCAATCTTCTGTAGCTTAGATTCCATACCATACTTATTTTTAGGTCTATAAAAAGATCATCTTTCACTACCAGGCAAAACCATTTGCCCCAATAAGCTTTAGCCTTTGTTCTACAAACACTAATATGTTGCCAGATTGACCTTTGAACCTTAAACTTCCAGTCCAAGAAACGTTACAGACAAGAATCACTTTCTGAGGCATCTTGTAGCTGATAAGATGGCCATTGATCATTTGTGATGGTGGTTCATTGTAATTGACCGCTACAGATCCGGATACAAATTATCGTATTTTGAATGAAAATTCTGGCATGTTTTCATAAATATAATTCACATTTAATCATTATGACAACAAGATGAATGTTCCCCTTTTCATAATGATCATAAATTAAATGCATAAACGAGAAATCATAGAAGATAAAAAGTTTCATGAGCTTTTTAAGCTTAATTTCTTTTATTCCTCAGCCGCATGGTTTGCTCATGGTTCTTTAAGATGAATAAACTTTATAGTATAAGCTAAGTTATCTCTGAATTCAAATTCAAAAAGGCTTCAGTTTTGGCGATTACTTCCTCATTGGAACAATATCTCTTGCCACGGAGCATTTTTTTTAGATCGAATGAAAGGTGGAAATCTCAGGCCAGACCTGGATTATACGGTGAACGCGGAAACAACGCAAAGCTGTGAATTCAATTCGTGCATTTTTACCATTGTTTTCATCGACTTGAGACATGGTACATTATCTTTCACAATTTTTTCTTCAACAAATGATACCTTTTCTTTGGAATTTCGGCATTCAAACGCTCCAATAAATTAATATAGAAGTAAATCACAATAATACTGTTGATTGTTTCTCCATGTTTCAAATAGTCAATGAAAATAATTAATTGCGGGCCCCAAAATACAAGCGCCATAAATGCGCATAAAGATTTCTGCGAATGCAGTCACTCAGATGAGCCAATTTGATTTGGGAGTAAAGTTATGAATTCATATTTCATCCATTGGCACACACCGAAGCAAAAAATCCGACTTATTCCAATTAAACAGCACCAAGATTGATCAATTCCCTGTTGTTTTGCTCTGGCGTGGGAACACGTGGTACCCATTTGGAAAAGAGCTTTCTGATACCAAAATCTTTAGAGTATCAGCTATCTCTTGTAACTTCACTTTTGGGTTTTCCATGCTAATTGTTAGCATTTCTTCGATGTTTTCGGGAATAACTGCATCATTTGGCCTTCCAGATCGCTCAGCATCATCGGTGTCAGTACGACCGCATTTGAATTCAGCAAACCATCGTTTAATGGTTGTAATTGATGGAACAGAGTTCCGGTAACACTTTTTGAACCATTGCTCAGTTTTGACTGCATTTTTCCCCATTAAATAACAGTGATAAATCAACACACGAAATTGATCAATATATTTTTTTTGTTATAGGTACTGCCATGTGTTGTGTACTAAGTCCATTGAAAGAGTGAGTAAATTTAAATACCTGGGATCGTGGCTTTTTGAAGACTGGGCATCGGACAGGGAAGTAAAATGTCGCATTGAGCAAGCTCGACAAGCTTTCGTAAAATTCAAGAAGGTACTGACTTGTTCAGAGTTCGATCTTCAACTGAGACTAAGGTTTACTAAGTGCTACCTGTGGTCAGTGCTGCTATATGCCGTAGAGGGCTGGACACTCAAAACGAGGGATATTAACAGATTAGAAGCTTTCGAAATGTGGCTCTATCGTCGTATCCTAAAAATACCATGGACAGCGAAAATCACAAATATAAATGTCCTTAAAAGAATAAACCAAGAACGCCAACTTTTCGAAACCATAAAGAAAAGGAAAACGGCGTATCTAGGTCACATCATGCGAAATGAAAAATACCAGTTCCTCCAACTTATAATCGAGGGTAAAATTGAAGGCAACAGAGGAATGGGACGCAAGAAAATGTCCTGGCTCCGAAACATAAGGCAATGGACAAGGATTAACGACATACAATCTCTGATACATATTGCAAGAAATAGAGAATTAATGGAAAATGTGATCGCTAACATCCATTAGTGGATTTGCATCTGAAGAAGAAGAAGATGTGTTGTGGTCCTTAGGTCCTCAGATTTGATAATAAAATGCAATGGTTTCAAAGTATTATAGTAACTTGTTAAAGTAATGATAAACGACTGTACGCTAGGTCAAGATTACTATGTCAACAATTCTACTGACCCGAATAAAATCAGTTGTAGAATACGAACTAATTCTAAATATATATATATATATATATATATATATATATATATATATATATATATATATATATATATATATATATCCGGTTTTTTAGGCGTTACGCCCGTCCGGTAGGGATCTATGGAGGAGTATCACTGAGCCGCAAGCCCTTATCTCTTGCCGTACTGCTCCACCATAGGCCGATCAGATCCCAGCATATCCTAGTCTAAGCCGCAGATTCATCTAGAATTTTAAACTGCTGCGTTAGACTTTTTGTTTTCTGTACACCGAGCTGGGGCTCGATCCCACATCCACTGAACCATTCGACAGTGAAGCGAATGAGAGGCAGCCGCACAGCCCGCTGAGCTATCTGACCGACATTTTTATCTAAATAAATCCCTAAATAAAACATCGTGAATATTGTAACACTAATTTTTATTAATTAATTTAAAAATGTCACTGTATAAAAAGATTTATACGATATTTTTTGTTTAAGGCACTAAAACGTGGCACTATAATCGCATCACAATTACAATTTTAATATTATTCAGATCATTATAAACTACATGCACTATCAAAAATATATTTTCTATTGAAATCATTTCTGTAAAATCAGCAGCTCAAATATTTGATAATAAAGAGAATTAAAAAAAGTACGACAAATAAATGTAATATGGAACTTTATGTCTAAGTGAAAGTTTAATAATTTTCTGTTTTCTTCCTTCGTTTGTTAGACTGTATTTGCCAAATGTTGAATATATATTGCAATTCGTAGTTGTTCTTTTAGCCTCTAAAGTCTGTTGAAAATAGTAAGTATCAAGAAATAAACATCGAGTATTCATGTCATAAAAATAACTATGATCACGGGGTTGACCAACCTTCAGTATTTGAGGCGTGTTTCTTAAGTATCGTGTCGAAATTCCGCTGCAGCAGCGCTGCTGTCGGTATTTCTACAAAACACAAACTCCATTGCCTCCACAGACTGTGAAATACGTGCAGAACTTCGTAGTCTTAGTGCCAAAGGCATGAAAAGTAATTGAAATTCACTGTCAAATTTGTGATATGTACGGACAAAACATTTTGAATGATGGAAGGAACGCGAATGATCAAAAGCTGTAGTAACAGAGTCTGCAACCTTCAGTGGTCACTGATATCATTTGGATGTGAAGAATTTTATCATCAACAAATATACTCGATGGATGTAGCAGTGACTATCATGTGGTTTTACACCATCTCTGAGGTCAGCCCCAGGATCAACTAGACTCAAAAAGACAGTGTTGAAATGGCTCTCAAATCAGACCGCAAACTTCTAAGGCGATGATATACAAAATATTGGTCCATATGATAACGGCCTTAATATTGGTGACAAATACGGGGAAACGTAGATAAAATTTACATATAAAAACAATATTTTTTTAAAAAACACATCTCGTAGCTGCAATATAAGACTACGTTAACCAAACAGAAAAATAATTTTCAATTCAACATTCAGAACCAATTTTATAATAGTCAGTTAAATATCATAAAAAGTTAATATTTGAGCAGCTGGGTAAAAGAAATGGAATCAATTATCACTGGTATACCTTACATGCGAATATAATTATAAAATTTTCAAAAATATTTTACAATATCTAAATTAAAATCTTGAACACGTGAACTCTCTAAGGACACTATAATCACATCGTAAACGGTATGCTATTTGTTCAGAAGAAGTAACAGTATAAATAGAACAATAATTGTTAAAACGTGTAATTTACTATTAACATAGCTTTACATTTGGAGATACAATTAGTCCCAGAATTACTTCTACTATTATTTTAATAACAATGTAACATGTCTTCACTAGTAGGTACAAAGAAATAAATATTAGGGAATCTAAGCAACAATATAAAAATATTTTCATAGTTTAAAAGTCACAACCCAACAACAAAATGTCAACAAAAAATAAGCAGAATTTATTTTAAAATTAAATTGGTAAACAAGTTGCTCTAATCTTCCTTGGATCATGCTAGACAAAATTGTTGATATTAACTGATCAGCTAGGCGAGCTTTAGCTACTCTTTATTTGTGAGCTTATACAACCTAATTTGTGTAAAAATTTAGCACTCACGACCACCGAGTACAGTAAGACTCGGTGAATGGGCCCAAAACGAGATCCAGATTGTCATTGTTGAAATTTTGTTCAATAATGAAGCTCATTTTTGTTTAGTAAGCTACGACAATAAACAAAACTACCGCATTTGGTGGAAAGATCCAGGAACACGGAATCAAGAGCCCTTACTTTTAGTACTAGTACTACTAAAAACAATGCTGACAAGAACGTTACAGCCGTTGATAGAAACATCTGCAATTACTTTTTGGTTACGGAATTTAATTACTTTATTAAAGAGCGTTGATTTCGGCAAGCTAGCTCAACATGTCACAATGCACATGTCACATGAATTGGCCTACAAGGTCATAACAGCGTCATAATAACAGAAATAATATATGGATCAGCAGCTTGAGGCCAAACCTGTAAAACAAACAGGAAGGAGACATTAATAGCCCAAAACCACATTGTTCCTATACAGAGAAACTAAAGAGATAAGAATCCTAGATAAAATGAATGAAAAAGCGTATGGAATCTTCAACACACTAAGAAACCATTCGAATGAAGAACTAAGGAACTTGACGAACTACGATGAAAACAGAATGGGAATGCACAGAAGACCCAGACATAAATTTGTATGGTATCAATCCGAAGAATGAAGAAACATGAAAAGGTAGTCAAATAGTAGGAAACGAGACCTAACACGTTGGCTGCTCATTGTTTGATTTATTTTTGGTATTGGAAATCATAACTGGAAAGTAATTGACATAAAAAATACTGTCAAAGACATGCCAGTTAAGTAAAAATGATAATTTTAAAATATTATCACTCCTTTCTATATGGATAATTTCTATAATAGTGTTCAATTGTGTAAAAAACTACTTTTGGCTAAAACTTATCTTACAAGGAATATTGAGAACAGGAAGAGCGGAAAATCCACACGAAGTTGTTTCTCGAAAATTAAAGCAAAATGAACTGGTGAGTGAATACAATAATTAAGGGATATGTGTGTGTGTGTGGTAAATAAAAAGATCATCGAGAAATTTTAATGATCTCTTCCGAATTTGGTCATGAAATGGTTCCAACAATATCTAGGAAAGGAATTGATAAAGAAAAGTCCAGTTTAGTCGTTGAATATAACAAAAACAAAGGTGGCATTGATTTAGGCGACCAGATGTTAAATTATTATAGTTGCGAACACAAAGCTATGAGGACGTACAAAAAAATAGGCATACATATTTTTCAAATTATGCTAATCAGCGAATACTATTTCTATAATAATTCAAATACAAAAATGACAATGTACGACTTTCGATTGTCGGTGATTGATAGTCTTTCGGGACCAAACCCAAAAATCCCATAAGTCAAGAAAATTTGACGTTTCATTTGCCAACCCATTGCCCTAAATCAGCTAATGATTTAGGGCAATCCATTGCCCTAAATCAGCGTATTACAAAACGACGACGTGTAAATATTTGCTGGCAAACTAAAACATAAAAAAGGGCTCATTGTTGTATTGTGCATAAGTTTACCTTAAAAATTAATTAGTTTACATGAATTCATCTCAGTCACCCAGTGTTTTCCCTTTAAAAAATGGGACGTAGCTGAACGTGTTAATAGATCGAAATTGCTATTTTAAATACTGATTACTTCTTCTAATCTCACATATCCAATCATATTTCATGCACATACATGCTAAATTTTTCGAATATTACAAATTTCGAAAAAAGAAATTACAAATCTATACACAATTTGCACTGACAGGTACAACCAACAAATATAAGATCAAACATATTTAAACAAAAGAACCTGCAATGTTTGTTCGCTCCTAAAGATTCAATTTAAACAACAAACAATTGCACTAAGCTAAATCTTATAGAGCTATTGATATAGAATACTTGGAACGTATACGGTAAGTGTACGTGTAAAATCTCCTCCTTCCTTATATTAATTAAATTTCTTGATAACTGAACTAAGGTATCTGCGCATTTTGTAAGATAATTTTATTTGGAATCATTTGGCAAGTAATATTACATTTAAAAGCGTGTGTTAACTAATTTTCATCCATACCTATACGACTGAGTTTCAATCCAAAAACCTCAAAATATATTTCAAATATTATCGTTCAATAATTGTCGCATATTCTCTAGATTTTTTCTTTTTTTTTAATATTTTTGACTATACATTGGCATTTTCATCTGACAAATATTTTTTATATGAATTCATACATCTATGTCAAAAATGTTTTCAATTACACACGTCTTATAGACGAATCTAATGACATAAATATTCCTTTATTGTCCACGATGAGGATGTCCGAGAAGTTTAAATACCTGGGTTCCTAGCTAAAATCGGACTTAAATCCTGATTAAATTGTTAGATCTCGAATAGAACAGGCAACATCAGCATTTAACGAAATAATATATATAGCCTTCAATGAAGACGGTACAATAAGAAGGTCATGCCAAACAGAAAGAGAGAATATTAAAAGTAGATATATAAGGCAAGTTACTTTTGTAAGATAATTTTGAATGGATGTTCAATGTGTGACATCATGATTTCATTTAAAATTAAACTACAAAAAAAGTCTGGAGAGGCTTATGACAAGTAGACTGAACAAGTCTGCTGCGAGTGGCATGCCCCTATAAGATTGTGTGAAAAAAGACCTTTTGACCTAGAGAAAACAAGAAATGAAAAGTTCAATTGAAAGATGGCAAGAAGAATGAAACCATATGGAGGATATGACAAAGTGGACAAAGATGCTGATCCCGAACCTAAGAGATTGGGTAGATTGTGGTCACAGTCGACTAGATTATTTCCTAACGCAGGTGCCCACAAGACAAGGATATTTTGGGGCCTATCTCTCTAGGTTCGGAAACGCTCACATGAATGCTGGAGTGCAACAGACTTGTAGTAGAAAGGAACAAGATGAAAAGAGAGGCAGGTGTGAATTGTGACATGTACACAACTACATCCGTGCAGTGATCAAGAAGAAAAAAGAAGAAGAAAGGGAACAGGACCATCGGCAAGGGTAAGAAGGAAATATGTTGTAAGTTGAATTTATAGCGAATATGTTATGATAAGATACGAACAAGAGAGTCAGGGGTAAAATGTGAGAACAAAAAAAGGTGAAAATGGACATTGAGTCTCCTTGCTAACAGTTGGTGAATAAATGAAGGTAGTACTTCGTAAGTGTTGCTTGGCAGCCATTCCGCTTCCAGAACGCTGGAGGATCTGTTTTAGGTAGCCGTTCGGCGTAGATATGGCGACAAGAGAGCGTATTAAAATACCTCAGGAACTATCACCAGAACTATGCAGAATGAATCCTGCAATAAGATCAGTCAGACGCCATCCTGAACTGAGATATACTTTGAAGATTTCAGACTCCCTCTATAAAATAGGTAACTTTTAATAGTTACGTCATTGAATTTCATCAAAAACCAAACATGAAGCTAAGTTCAGTTCCACAAAATTGATTAAGTTAATTTTTATTGTTTACAAAATAGGCTGCAACAACATTTAAGTTGAAATTGATAATTGTATAGATATCAGTATAAAGAACTCGACAGGTACTTACAAGATATTACTTGCCATATGATCCAATTGAAAATAAAATTATTTTACATAATGATGACGCAGATCCATAATTTCAAAGTTTTTCCCAAAGGTCAAAAAATAAGGTAGGAGGAGAGGTTAGACAAACACTATACAGTAATTTTTGTGAAACTTAGATATTGGGCTATTAGATCTGGCCAGCCAGATCTAAATTTGTCTTTAATTTTTTAGTTGCTCTAAATAATGAAAAACATTTGCTTTATTAATATAAAAAAACACTTAATACCTAAAGTACGTTTAATAGTACGATTAACACAAAAGCAAAGTTCAAAAACTCTCGTATGTCTTCGTTGATACAACTTTAGTTGTTAGTTCAATCAACTAAAGAAAACTTTGATGAGGAAGCAATTGTTTATTTTTCTTTGGTAAAGACAAAGTTTATTGGAATGTGAAAGGAAAAAAGAATAATATGGAAAAATTTAATGACATCTGAAAACCAATAAAAAATTTAAAAAGAACCTAAAAATAGGAATAAAAAATAATATAAGTTCATTTACAGTTGTCCTATGAATACATTACAACAGACTCACACAAAGATGCGGATGGAATCTTGAGAAAACCAATTTGGTTTTAGAAATCAATGAATATTTATCATTAAAAACTTGGTTTTTGTATTGTTTTACTGTAACAACAATTTGTATGCTCCTTACAACAATACTGATAACTCGCATAATCAGATTGTCCTACGGTGCGTTGGAGGATTTATCACTTTGTATGTAAAGAAATATTTCTAAGCTGTTTTAGATTAAAAAAAGGGTGTATGACACTTAACGACAGCTGCTTTCTACAAAATAAGAAATACAAAAACTCTGAAAATGTAAGAAAATAGATCACATCAAAAACTACCAGTGGTATACACAAACTAAAAATATTGCAAAATTAGGAAGACATTATATAGAAAAAGTGCAAAGAGCTCTAGTTCGGATGGTATAAGTCAACTGACTATTTAAGAAGAAGTAATTATACAAATCAAACTGAAAAAGTCCTTAAAAAGAAATGCAAAAACCAAATTAACACATGGATTCCTAGATTGGCCTAAAAAACATGTATTATTCTATCGTTCGACATACCAATATCTAAATTTCACCAATTATTATAATTAAAGCATCAATTATTTTTAATATATCTAATAAATAGAAGTATGAGAGACATTTAGATAATCCTATTTAAATTTAATTATAAAAATAATATTATCTCTTTGATTTTTTTGTATACTTTGAAAACTCTGGATAATAAAACAAAATTGCTACTAAACGCAAAAATATAAACAATACAGCAATTTAACGAATTTTAATGATACGTTGTGTACTACAGGATTATTTATAAAATTAACAAAAAAAAAATAAAAATATCAACAAATTATTTGTCAAATTTATTAGGTAATCAAATACCAAGCACGTTGTATATTTTTATTTTTATTAAATTTTAAATGTATTACTAAAATATATTTTAAATAAGTATCGCATAAAAAAATGTATCGGTATCATTGACATTTCACAAATAATAACACAGGCCGACATGATTTTTGGTGTTTTGAGTTTGACATGTGTCCTTAGCTGATACGGGTACCCTCATTCTGAATACGAATTCGCCCATCATGTCAAAATTGTTCACAAAATTTAAAAAACCTTGTGATATATTATGTACTAGAGCAAACAAATACCTTATTGATATTTTGTCAATTGTATTAAAAGTATTTCTTTAAAATACTTTATAGATCAATAGAAAATATTTTAATACAGTATTATGTTAATTTCATTTGAATGGCAACACTACCGATGCCGTCAACTTGATGGCATAATATCACCAAGAAAGTGTAACAACAGTCCTGATATATTTTGTTACGTGTGTGGTCATTTACCAATAGGAAAGCATCAACGAAACATAACGGATTTTATAAAGAAAGCTTATCACGTTTACTTCGGTGTTAAGCTTAGTGATCAAAAGGGATTCACACAAAGTGTGTTGAACTAGTGAAAAATGGACAAAAAGTCCAAGTAACTCTTTACCCTTCGGCATTTCTATGGTATGGAGGGTAACAAAACATGGAGACGACTGCGATACCGGCGATATTAAGGGTTTCAATTCAAACAAATAAACACAAAATTCAATATCCTGATTTACCTTCTGGCAAACTGGGATCTGGCAAGTATGATTCCACACCATGGCAGTTATTTATTGATTCTTCTAAGAGAAGTCTGAAGTGTGTATTGTTGCACAATGGTAATACTTATGCCTCAGTGCCTGTTTCTCACTCCGTGCATCTCCAAGAAACATATGAGAATCTTGAGCTTGACAACTCAATGTTGCAATGTATTTTGTATTAAATAAAGTTTCAATAAATATTTTCTCAGCATTTTTGGCACTATCAAAAATTTCAAACGACTTTTTCATAAAAAAAAGGTAGGCCTGTGTAATTTATGTGACTTTTCAATTTTTACAACTTTAAAATTCTGAATTACCTGTACACGCATAATTGTTGTGTGTTGTTTAAAGTCGGCCAATATGACCTGCAACTTGTTTAAATTACTCTTACCAACCATCGAATTATTAAAAACGTTGGCTGTAAGTTACACATAGTAGTTTGCAGGTTAGTATTTCGTTGATTAGCGTTTACATATTGGCACCCAACGTGGGGCTTGAAAGCTGGGAGCTATTGACCTTAAATTCTTGAAATTTCAATGTTACATTTAATCAATAAGCGTAACAATGGGCTTAACAGTTAATTAATCACAATTATGACTATTATTTAAATAAGCCAAATGTAGGGACCAAAAGAACACACAATAATGTGTTGAGGTAATCATATAGTATATTAAAAGCTATTGAGTAGTCGGTTAATAATTCAAATGTTATAAAAATGGAAGAGTGACATAAAAACTTTGTTATATTGCTTATATTAGCTACTGAAACAAACATCCGATTTTATCTAACATTATTCGCCAATTATCCATTAAATTGCTGCATTGAAAAACTATTAATAAAATTATAGGACTATTCTTTCATACTCCCACAACGAAACTCCTTAACATAAAAACAACTAAATTTCCGACTCCTCTGCATCAACTGCGTCAAATTCTTTCATCAAATTTCTACGACACTTTACATTACCTTCATATATTATTAAATATATGGTATACTGATTACTGCCCAGAGAAGTATATGCCACACTGAGTTTACACGGTCGTCTCCACTTCGTTTCACTCTGATATTTCTTTTGGCTGGGTCTATGGAACTCAATATCCCCTAAAAGTAGAAATTGATATACATAATTATATCATAACATTAGTACATAACATTAATAATAGTAAGATTTATTTATTTTATAAGCACATTTTATCAAATGTTGCTTCTAGTGATTATCTTCTGTGAAGGTCATTTACAACATATGTTGACAGCTAATCTGAACAAGTTGTTAAATGGTAATCCTCTCCACTACCTAAGACTCTTCTACGAAGTCAATATTTATCCTCTCATTCTTTCCCTGTAGTATTAAATTTCAAATTGTCTCTGTGTACACATACATACTCTGGCATATATTTGAAGTTTTGTACTTTGGGAACTCTTCACACACTCTCTCCTTGAAGTGGTAGCCCAGACTGAAAGCTTTTTGAAGATTCATATTCAAGACTGAGGACTCAGTTTGTTTCTACCATTTTGGATAATTTCTGATACTTAATAAGCATTTACTGATAAGGTTTCTTACACTCAATTTAGCCTAGAGACCAATGCAAAAACTCGAGGTATGGCACATGGAACAATAGTAAGAGTTAGAAGTTTTATGAAGATCCATCTCCTGTCCATGATGCTCAAAATGGTTGTTGCACCAAAAGGTGCAAAACACTGCACTCTCTACTTTTTGATTTACCTACTGAGGTAGTTAAAAATTAAATAAAAAAGTTGAGAGTTAGAGCTGATTATAGCTAGTATTAGGTATATATCATAGTTCACACTATTTGTATAAATTAAATGGAAGGACAGTTGTACTAAACATATGAGACATATGCATACTAAACATATTTCAAGTTAACCCTGCTGTCCTGTTCGGGTCTATTTGACCCAAAAAAAAAAAATTATTTCTTATTTTACAAATTATTACGCGGCGTAACGTTTTGGTGTTTCGTGACTTTATTACTTAATATGAGGTCTTTCAATTGCATAAAAGATAAAAAATCAACTTACTCATTTTTTTGATAAAAATTAAATTGTTACCTATGGTATTCTCGGGTCAATATGACCCACTTATTTAAACCGTTAAAAATTACCTGTATAGGTATGTTTAGTTGGTAGTATTTTATATTTTCTAATAGTGTTTGTCAGTCAGGTACGTCTATAAATAAAAACAAGTTTCTACAAGCTAGAACTTGTAAAATATGTGTAGTGTAGCTGGACGATGTCAGGTAGAATGGCATGTCACGTAAAAGGAAGTGGGGGTGATAGACAAGTGGTAAAACACTAATATTCCAAGGCCAAGCGCATTCATTTATTCGTTTATATTTCAAATTTCAGTCTATGTTTGCATGTTGATAATGTCGCACCGTAGAGCGCTAACCGAAGATGAGCTTCGCGAGCTCGCGAACGTGTCAGAGAGTGATAAGTGCATATCAGAAACAGAAAACAATACAAGTAGTGAGAGTGAGGAAGAAAGTAGTGATGAATCCTTTGGTGTTCCATTCTACGTACAACATCCTGTAGAACCTTCTGTAACGGTTCCTTCAAAAGACGATACTATCCAATGGTCGCTCGATCCTCCTTATCAACACGGTCGTTGTTATAAATAATGCTCCAGGAGTTACAAGGTACGCATGTGCACGAATTTTCGATATTAAAAATTCATTTGACGCACTCTTTTCTGACATAGTTGCAAACCAAATTATAAATATGACCAGCATGGAAGGACAGCGTGTTTTTGGAAACAACTGGAAAGACTTAGATAAAATTGGTTTTCAAGCATACATTGGTCTGTTATTGTTAGCTGGAGTTTTTAAGTCCCATGGTGAATCAACTAAAAGTTTGTGGAATGAAGAAACGGGTCGTAGTATATTTCGAGCAACAATGTCCCTTGAAGTATTTACAAAAATTTCGCAAGTAATACGTTTTGATAACAAGACTACTAGACAGGATAGGAGACGTACTGATAAACTTGCTGCAATACGTGAAATTTGGGAAAAATGGGTTGAAAATCTACCAAAATTTTTTAACCCTGATGAAAATGTTACCGTCGACGAGCAATTAGTTGCCTTTAGAGGCCGCTGTCCATTCAAACAGTACATTCCAAGCAAGCCAGCGAAATATGGCATAAAAATTTGGGCCTTATGTGACAGTAAAAGTTCTTATGCTCTAAAATTGCAGATCTATACAGGAAAGGAAGCAGGTGCCGCGCCAGAACGAAATCAGGGAATGCGTGTGGTGTGCGACTTGAGTAGTGATTTGAAAGGCCACAATATTACATGTGATAACTTTTTTACATCGTACAATTTAGGACAACTTCTTCTAAAAAGAAAAAATACAATGCTGGGGACTATAAGAAAAAATAAACGAGAGCTTCCAGCACAAATTGCGAATAAAGAAGTTCATAGTTCGTCTTTTTACTTCACACAAGATACCACTGTTATTAACTATATTCCTAAAAAGAATAAAAATGTTATTCTTATGAGTACTTTGCATCATGACAAGGCTATTAGTGACAGAAATGACAAGAAGCCCCAAATTATTTTAGATTACAATTCCAGTAAGGGGGCAGTGGATACTCTAGATCAGCTTGTTGGTACATATACATGTAAGAGGAAGACAAATCGCTGGCCCATGATTGTTTTTTACAATATGCTGGACATTTCTGCCTACAACGCGTTCGTTTTATGGACATCGATAAATCCCCAATGGAATACCAATAAACTTACAAAACGACGAATTTTTCTTGAGGAGTTGGGAAAAACACTGGTGAAACCACTTATCCTTTCCAGGAAAAATTTACCGAGAACTAAAGACTCACAAGAACTGGTAAAAAGAACACGAGCAGAAGCGAGTAGAGAAGATGGAAATTCTAGTGAACCGTCTATGGACCATCCAACTCCGCCTGCTAAACGAGCACGCTGTAAATTTTGCTCTAAAAGGGATAACAAGACTAATATTTTATGTTGTATATGTCATAAACATATTTGTAAAACCCATTCTTTCTATTACTGTCCCAGTTGTAAACTGAATTAAATTTTGTAGATATTTGTTCTTAGGGTTTTCTGGGAAAGAAAAAATGCTTTTTATTTTTGTTAATAAGGTTTAATTTACAGTAACAATATAATTATTGTTTAATTAACTATAATTTTTTATTAATACAGTTTTGTTTAGCACCATTAGCTTATTTTATTTCTATTAGGGAGCGTAAATCATAGTTGGGTCATATTGACCCGAACAGTACATTTGTGTAGTTTACTCGAATGGTACAACAGGGTTAAGATGTTCACTTTAGAAATCAAATAAGAGAATAGTGTTTTCATGTTAATTCCTTAATGTTTTGCTGTTTCATTATTACTTTATCAAATGATATAACACTGATAGATGATTTTCAAAGCTTCAATAAAGACTAGAGAACGTGAAGAAATGGACAATAAAAAATAAACATAATACAAATAAGATTTAAACTAACATTTAACATTTCAACAATGACATTTAAATCAAATTATATAGCTAGTGAAGATTAAAAAAAAAGTAAATAAGGCAAATAGGCAAAACACGGATAAACAACTAAAAATATAACCAAAACCAATAAAAGACTTAAATAAGGGCACAAAGATATCTGTAAATAGGATAAATAAAAAATCCTCAACCAAAATTAAATATGAGCTAATTATAGTATGGATTCATTACATGAAAGAAGATGTCAGAAAACATATTCTTGAAATTTTTGGAAGAGTGATAAGTGCAAAAAGAATGATACTGTAATGACAAAAGAAGCATTTGTATATTAAAGTAAGTAGTAACAAGATTTTATTATTTATAAACTTACCTTGGCATAACACATATTTAAGTTTTTGACCACTTTCTGTTGAATCGCACTCATTCTCTAAAGTTTCAATACTTTCTAAAGAAACTTCATAGGGGGTTTTTAATTTCTTCCTAGGTGAGCTGGGGATTTCCGTATTATTGTGGGGACCATCTCCTTGGCCCTGTTCTTTAGGATATTTACTACGAAGTTCTCTTCTGTTGTTGTTACTTGATGAAGGCAATGGTCGTTTCTTGGGAGTTGTAGTTTCACTTCTTAGCTGGATCGGCCTTGGTGGGCTCATTAAGGCAAGAGGAATCATCTTTTGTGTCCTACAAAAATATTAATAAATAACTTAACCTTATACTTAACTTAAATAATATTAATAAATAAACTTAAATAAGCAACATAACCTTTTGTAGCGTAAAGTAATACACTGCGCTCTAGTTGGAGTATAAAAATTATCGCTATTCTATACTACTATTTCCTAAATTTCCACAAGATTCATTAACAAACTCACCATATGGAAAGGTCTATTGTTAATATAGCTGGTCATAGTTAAGTGAAACTTTCTTTAAAATGAACAAAATAGTTATTAATATCTAATAAATAAAACTTTTTTATAATAAACTACAAAGTTACCTTGGGACTTTAATAATATGAGTATCCCTGAAACCAATCTTCCCAACAGGAACTGCATCAGAAAGGAAATGATTCACAGAACCCATTTGATCCTTTAGGAAAGCAGTAACATTCTTTTCTTTTTTGATTGTCTTTCCAAACCAATCGAGCACAACATCTTCAGATAAATAATATTGGAAATAGTTACTGTGATTCTCAATATTATCAATGTAAAATTCAACAAATTGCTTGGCCTCCCTCTTATCACTTTCTGTATAGCTCATTTTTCTTTCTACAAATATTAAAAAATAATAATTACATATTTGAATAAAAATAATCTTATTGGTGAAGGCTATTTTACTGATGAGCTGATAAATAAAATCGTTGTAGAAACAAATCATTACTCTGGACAGTATTTGAATGAAAAAAAAAATCAATCAAGAGTAAAAATGGAGATCAACTGACATGAATGAAGTAAGATTCTTATTCTCTTCTTGATATCCAGGGAATCTGTATACAGAAAGAATTTTTTCTCATTGATAAGTACAAAAAAGATCATTTTTATGTAATGTTTTTTATTTTGATCAAATTCTATGTTTTTTGGTATTGGGATGCTATTCTTTAACCTATTCAATACAACAATACAATTCATATGTTGACAGAACTCTTTTAATATTATAGCCTTAGACAAGGAAAGAGAGAGGATGGGTAACACTGGTTCAACCAACCTTCAAAAAGTGAGGCCACTTTTCGATGTGTCTGCCATTTTTTTGGTGGCAAACAATAGATCTGACACCAGTTTTGTTTTTGTGATTAAAAAAAAAAAAGTGAATTAAATATTTTTTTTACTTAACAAAATGGTGAATTGCGCATATATTCTTTGTAAAAATCGCAGCGAGCAGAAAACACCAGGAAAATTGTTTCATAGGTAAATATTTATAATAGTGCAATTAGGTATTAATTGATTTTACTTTTTATTTCAATTTTAAACCTCAAAACCAAGTTAAATTAGTATTTTAAGGAAAGGTGAGATCTAAATTAGTAAATAAGAATGCTAAATATGCATAGTTATTTCAGTAATTGTATTATAATTAATAATTTCACTCACACACCATGATGATTTGCTAGTGGCGATGTGCGTTGAGGGTTAAAATTCCATAAAATTCCATAAATAAGTAAATAAATTAATTAATTTCGTTAATTTTGATTCCAAAATATTTGTATAAAATAAAATAAATTAAAACATTTAATATACAAAAATGTTTCATTTTAAATACGAATTAGTCAATCCTTAAAAATACAAAGATACGCCGCTGACCACTTCTTCTGGTGGCAGTTTGGCTTCACTTTTAGCACTTTTTACAGTTACACATCCTCTCTCTTTCTTTGTCTAAGATCATAGCCACATCTTATATTTTACATGCTACATTTCAAATAAATGGTAAAACAGAGTAGGCTAGACTGTTATCTACCTATAAAATGAACCCTAAACAGATCTAAAAGTCTATCTAGTAATATAGGGCAACAAGTTTATCAGGAAACAAACAATATACAGATAGGAAATGTGTAGTTTCAAATTCTAATACATCCAAAATATGGAGAAGTACCATGATCTCATAAATTGTTTCTCCATACTCTAGTTAATTAATGGTTGATTGATACGTGTATGTATAAGGACCCAACAACAATACATTAAAATATGTGTAGAGGTAATGGATTTTGAGAAGAGCTATGAGTGATGCTGATGCAGCACACAAGTTTACCTCTTACAAGGTCATAGCTCTTGTCAAAATCCATTACCTTTACATAGGAGCATTCATTTTAGGAAATTGTTCATTGGGTCTAAATTATTAGTAAAACTGGCTATGAAAATACCTTGTGAATTATATTGATGTTACAGTACTTATGTGAGATTATTAATTTTATCTGATTTAAACATTTTTAGCAGTGTTTGATGCTGTCATTAAGTTTATCCATGACATATAAACATAGATGGACACAGCAATAATGATAGATTTTTTGGCAAAGTAACGTAAGTCACCAAAAACTATTTGTAGAAAAAACAATTTTTTAATTCAACCTGGTTAAACTTATTTAAATTATGACTGAAAAAACTTGTCCTAAAAAAGGTTTAAATTAATTCTAGGCTTACTACACTTTGGCAGTACCTTTTTAACAATAATAGTGTTGGTTTAATTGAAAAATATTATTTTCGCCAAAAATGTCACTTACGTTACTTTGCCAAAAATGTATCAATAAGATACCTTTAACACACAATGTTTTGAAGCTTCGATAGAATGTGATGCTTCCGCAATGAGCATAAGCGTGCTTGAATTTTTACTCGCGGGTACTTAATTATTCAGATTTTAAAAATTGGAAGTAGTAATAATGTATAAAAACACATTCAAAGAATTTAAAAAAACGAAAGTTTAACTATTAACAAATCACTTCTTTATAGAAAAATTAAAATACAATTTTATTTGCTTTAAAATTAATACAATAAAATATAGTTGAATTCAAGTTAATTTTTAAAAGGTATCAAAATAATGCTACAATAAAAAATCTTTATATTTTCTCCTAAATTTGCTACCAAAATAGTTCGATTGTCAATATTATTTGGCAACCTACATAGAAAAATAAATGAGTTTTATTCATTTCACTAATTTATTTGCATCCATGAGAAATATTAAATTAAAAAGGTACTAAATAGATCTTTTTTAATCAGATGATGTCTACTTACAATTTAAAAATGTCTACTAATTTCATGAACTTATATCTTATTTAATACATTAATGAACATGAATAAACCCAATGGTACGCCTATTAAAATGTAAACAAATACGCTTCCTCATTTCCTCATCTTAAATAATGTAAATTGTATGTACTTACAAATGAAATGAGAGATCGGGATGTAAATATTTCGTTTATTTTATTTCACTTTTCACAAACATGGAACAGCATTTGAAGTTTGACGTAGATCCATAAGACAGAGAAATGTAAACAACCATTGTCATTTATAAATAGTTTTCAGTGCTTCTACATATAAAATAATTGATTGATATCTATTATACGCTATTATTAAATGATAATGTGCACACTTTATATTTTGATTACAATTAAATATATTAATCTAACCAATAAATTATTATTTTGGTTTGATAGCACCTGTAGAGTATAAAATACGGAGTAATATTTTCAGCGACTCGCGAATAAGAAATTTTAAAACAGAACGTGGCAACAGTTGAAGGTGCTTAGAATGTGACCTATTCAAATAATTTTGACTTCACAATTTTATGTAAATAACTGAGTCCATCTATGTTTATACGTCCATGAGTTTATCATGCAAACACTAAGCACTAGGAACCACATTTTCTATTGATTAGACTATATAAAAATAATTTAACAGTGATAATCAGAATTTGGATGTAATATTAGGTAAAAAAATATCATTGAGAAAACATACAAAACTGAAAGTTTACACTGTTAAAGATACATTTTTTAACTGTTATATACTGCTTTGTAATTGTGTTAATATGTCTCTTAAAGATTATGTCAAAATGGTTGTGAAGGAAGTATTTTGATACACTTATATCTATTAAAATTAATCAGGTCCCAACAACCTCCATCCAATTTTTTACCTGAGTTTTAATTGATACAATTTGATTTGGACTTTGTTTCTAGAAATTTAAAATAAGCTAGCAGATTTATATAAACAGATATGTGAAGGCCATAAAAATCCAGTTTTCAGAACCTTAATTTTCAATTAGCTTTTTATACTAAAAATACATTCTACAAAGGGCTGGTCTAAAATGTTAAGACTAAATTTTTCTTACAATAGTAAGAGTTTTGAAAATATTGAAAAGAATTTTTTCATAAATAAACTATACATTTTAATGATAATTGTTGGTTTACCTTAAATATAACTGCTTTACTAAAAATGTGGATATTACTTCTTCAAGTGTCTTCTTGGGACAACAACCAGAAACTATGAAAAACAAGTAGGTCACCAATTTAAGAACTAATACACATCTTTCTGGTAATTTGCTATACCAAACTAAAAGAAACTGTTAAGACTGTAGTATTTCTTGTTAAAGTGATCACTGGTTGATTAAAAATTCGGAATTTTCACAATTTTAGTCTTTTCCTGACAGTTGTTTACTTTAACAACCCATACAAATAACATGTTTTTGTCTTTGATTCCCACTGAAACGATTGAATAAAACACAGAATCACTTGTTATTACTGTTTTAGTTACTTATGCAATACACATATTAGTTTAAAACAAAGAAAACAGATAAAACAACAAAGTACAATTTTGTTGGTTAGTTTTTACCATTTAATCATTTAAAAGGCCTTCAAAATGGCTGCTCGAAGCATCATCCACGCCACCTCCGGTGTTTGCCACTTGCCAGGTTTAATTGATAGATGGCAGCAGAGAGAAAATCGAATTCTGTAGGAAAATTTTGAATTCAAATTATTCTGTTAATCTATTAACTAGTAGAGGCCACAAGCATGCTGATTATATGATAAAAGTCGTTAGGGACAAATAAAATTATTATATGCAAGTATTTTATTACCAAACCTTAGAATTAACCCATTAGCGCCTGAATTATATTTTTGTTAAATATTTGTAGAAACTCTGTTTTATTTTAAAGTTGTATATATATTTATATAAACTAAAATTTCTTAATTTTTTGAAAGGGGGTCCTTACAGGACCCCGTGTTCATATGATCACGCTAGGCGTATATTATGAGATACAAAAATACTCTTTCTGATAAAAATTTATTTTTGATTAGAGGAGAGGGTACAAATATGGGCTACCATTTTGTTTATTGCTGATATTTTGACTATTTTTTGATCGAAAAAGTTCAAATTACATAATTGGCATGTAGAATTGTTTTGCTCTTTTGCTCTTTTGTCCGTTTTTCGCCTATAACGATTATAGTAAGATATTTTTTTCTCTAATGTCATAAAAACACTTACGGTTTCATTTAAGTAAGAAATGGAAAGGTGATATAAATATGGGCTTTTTATGTACAATATTCACACACTATTTAAATAGGAATAAGCCACAACTTATGGTTGTGTGAATATTATTATTTATTATTATTCCACAATATGTAGGTAATAAGCCACAATTATTATTCCCAAATTCCACAATATGGGAACTAATAATTGTGGCTTATTCTCATTTAAATAGTTATTACTTTAAAATGCCACAAGAAAATAGCTTCAGAACAATAAAATTCATACACATATTCGTCTCTTTCTGCACCAGAACAGGTGCTGAATCCATTTTTCACCTCGTTAACCCTCACAAAATTTTCCGTCACAGAAAATACAATTTACATCCGTATTTTCCGGATCCGTTACACCAGGAATCTCCTCCAAATCCATATCTTCATCAGCTAGTTGAAATTCCTGCTCACTATCGTTGTCGGAAGTACTTTCGATTTCCTTTTTATGCCGCCTCTCTGACTTGTTTCTTAGTCACCTCCCTTGTGGACTCAGTCGTACAGCAGTGTCGTTTTACTGCTTGTACATTTAATTTCTTTTTACTGTTTCTTTGCTGGTATAATGCTTCCTTGCAAGGTGAAGAAGTTATTACCGTTGATTTCGATGATTTTCTACCATGATCTGTAGATTTTTTCCTGATCGACGGCACTGGCGATATTTAAAATGGACTTACAACCTTCTGCAAACCAGAAGGACCTGGTTCACTGATGTTGCTGGCTTCTGGTGTTTTTGGTAGGATAGCAGGTTCAATAGCTTGCGGTTCTACATGGCTATGGTTGTTATTCTCAATGTCTGCTTCAATAAAATCTGCATCTGAGAACATAGTCTTTTTCAATAGAGAAATTCCAGTGGCGCGGATTCCATTTACAGCAATTTCCCCAGTTTGGCTTTTAAGGTATGCTTTGCCAAAAAGTTCTTCAATATCGTACTGAGAGAGGGCGTGGTTATTATGACATAACCATGGCCTGATTTCTTCGCTATAGTATGTCTTGAGCGTTCCCATGAAAGTTTTGTCTAGCGGTTGCAGTTTGTGCGTTGAATGTGGAGGTAATGAAATTATAACTATGTTATTCTCCCTTGCCAGATTGATCACATCTAAATTGGGAGTATGGCTGTAGTGTCCATCCAATATAAGAAGTACAGGAAACTCTTTAGAGGGTTTAACGGTATCTATGAAGTGTTTAAACCACTGTGTAAATAAATTAGACAGCACCCAATCACTAGGATGAACGGCTGATATCGATCCAGGAGTATCTTTCATGAGTTGCACATTCATATTTTTTCTTGGGAAGATTAACATGGGTGGGATAAAATTCTCTCCAGCACTCATACATGCAATTAAAGTGATTGCACAATGGTAGGCCTATTTCATCTACGTTGTAAACCTGATTACTGGAATAATTGTATTTATCATATACTTTTTCCAGATGATCAAAAATATTTGAACATTCTCTTATGTAAAGTTAATGTATTTTTATGACACGCCAAGAACAAATCTAGCCTTTCTACCAGCTTTTTTAAATTGCATAAAGGGATGATTTAATCCATTTGATTCAGTCAGATAAATGCCATTCGTTTGATATCAGTTTGCATTAACATTAAACCATAGCTCTCTAACGTTTGTATTTCTCACCCTGTCTCTTCTGGTTTTGCCCACTATTGTTCTTAGGGCTTTTATTTCGGCAACCCTTAGCATGTGTTTCGTTTTGTTGGTATCTTTGCGCACTTCTATGCCATATGTCATGATCGGTCGTATGAATGGTTGGCGGTATGAATATTTAGTTGGCGGCTTATTTGAAAGAACTGAAAGAGCTATCTCTGAAGATCATCTTCTGATTTGGCAATAATTGCTGCATCATCTGCGTAACACACCATACCAATTCTTTTGTTGCCCATTCTGTATCTAAGATTGGGAGATGGTACTTTGTTTCTATAATTTTGCCCATGAGTAGGTTAAACAAGAAGGGGCTAAAACTGTCGCCTTGTCTAATTCCTCCCGGTGTTGGAATATTGTCAGTGAATTGGTCTCCTGCTCTAACTTTGGTTACGTTGTTGTTATTTAGGTTATGGACTATCTTTGTTTGTCTGGATTACTAAAGATCTAAATCCGAAATGAGAAATTCCATCAAGAACAGAGCAATCAAAAGCAGCCTTGAATATGAGGAAATTTCTGAGTAACCAAAAACTCAACCTGCAAATCCGATATCGAATGGTAAAATGTTATATCCACTCTATTCTTCTTTATGGTGCCGAAGTGTGGATTTTTAATGTTGACTTAATGAGAAAGCTAGAAGCTTTTGAAATGTGTATTTAAGGAGCATTTTGAAAATACCATATACCGATCATATTACGAACGAAATGGTGTTGCACAGAATGAGAATAGACAGAAAAATGTTTACCACCATTGAAAGGAAAAATACAGATTGGGGCACATACTTAGAAATGATAAGTACGAGTATGAGTTGTAGCAGCTAATTATGAAGGGTAAAATCGAAGAAAAAGGGGGTCCTGGTTGAAGACAAATATCCTGGCTCTAAAACATTCGCGACTGAACCGGGTTAAGAACACAGACGCTTTAATAAAAGCAGAAAATAGAGACGAATTTGCGGTGGTTATAGCCAACCTTCATTAGTGGAGTCGGTACTAGAAAAAGACGTTGGTTTATTGGTGTTAATTTTTAATTTGCTGACATTGGGGTTCATATTTTGTGCGTTTTCTGGTAGTGTTGGGACTGCACCTAAAGACTCACTGAAATATTCGTGTAATTTTTTTACTTATTCCTGTAGCGAGAATACATTTCACCTGTATTGCTTTTTAAAATTGGTTGCTGGGAGATATATCGTTTGTTCGCTAGTTTTTAGTGATATTAAATAATTCTATCATAATTTGATGTTCATTGGTGACCCCGCTTCTTCAACAAGATTTTCTTACCACTTTCTTTTATCTTTCTTCACAACTTTTTTACGTCTCTATGATAATATAGCGTTAGATAAAATCTTAAAACTGCCAGTTATGACCAGGGATATCCCTTCCCTTCCATATCACTGGTTATGACTAGACTTCGGCAAATATGCATATTGCATATTTTGCATATTGTGCATATTTTATGCAAATATTTCATATTTTGGCGTATTTGTATAAAAGTTTGCATAAAGTGCATAAAAGTTCAGATTTTTATACTGTATTTGAAAATTTTAAACATACCAATTTATTTCAATTCTTGTATAAAATTTTGTAGTCATTTTATTCAAGAAATGATCTAAGTACGTAATCTCTACAGGTACAAAACATTTACAATTTCAAAGAAGATCAATTTAAGTAGCCCTCAACATTCTTAGAAAGTCTCGGTCACTGAGGCATTCAGCAATTGGATAATCGCTAATGGTTCGCTCATTTGCATTTTATGATCTAATCCCCAAATCTATCTACAATTTATTGCATCTTAACAGTAGGTAAACGGCTAATAGTTTTGTTCCTAATTTAGGGATTTTCCAAAATCTCCCAGTTTATTGAATTAGGTACCTAAACATTTCTAATTTGATGCTCAGATTTGTAAATCATTTTTGTTTTGATATTCAAAGCGTAAACACTCGTTGTGCGTAACAAAAAGGAAGATTGTGATTTTATAATGCCTAAAACAACCAGTGCTTCAACTTGGATTAAACCTTATAAAGAGCTGTCTATGGATATGGGAAAAATCTACTGTTCAGTCTGTGGCAAAATTGTAAGTATCTAATATTTTCTATTAAATATCTAATATTTCATACATACAGGGTGTTTCCAAATGACACTTACAACGTTTGACTGTAGATACTTCTCGAAAAATTGAACAAAACGATATAGTTAATGAGTGGTCAAACTTATTTACTTTTCGAGATACAGGGTGTTAAAATTAAAAAAAAAATTAAATTCTTCTAGTTAATAACAACAATAACTTTAAAACCAATAAAAGTATTTACTTGAAATTTAGTACTCGTAGGTTGTTTTTAAATGAAAAATAGCTTCCTTTAGTGAGAAAAATTGTCCATGGTACAATACAATGGTGTGTATTTAGAAAAAATTTTCACCTTTACTTTTTTTTATAAAGTCAGCTATTCTAAAACACAATTATTTTTATTGTAATTGAATTAACAAAAAAAAAAACTTTTGTTGAATTTTAAAATAAGTTATATGATGTACTAATGGTTAGTAACAAAAACTAATTTGTGGATTAATACTGCATTTAAAACACTTAGCGAGTGTTTTTTTTTCCAAACCAGTTATTTGATTAACCAAAAACACCTTGTATATTTTT